CGAAGGAATTTTGCTTCAGGAGCGGTATCGCTCTGACATGACAGTACGTGAAGAACCTGTTGAAGGTTGAGGTTTCATTGGAGATACTGCTCTTGAAAGTCACTTCTACTTTATGATAGTTCTTTCTTGGTGATTTCTTGTGTGGTAGTGTCAAAGATGGAAGTGAGCTAGCAAGCAGAATATTGAATACCTGCACTTATTATCCACTGCTTTCTTCGGATAACCCCTTACTTTATAAGCATGGGGCCATACCTTGAATCTCGGCGAGATGCCCTTCTGCTTTTTTTTCGCGATTCCTCGTGTAATTCCAGGAAGAATTCCTTTCCACTTATTTCGCTTATTTTTTTCGTATTCAACACCGAAGAGAAAATTGGAGCATCAATATGTATGAGCAACTAGAAGTCTTCAGCGTACCAGTAGGCGCTACAGAGTCGACTGAAACACTCGATATATACTGCTGATTGCCTTTCAAGTCCTTCGAAAAGCTTTTCATTTCCGACATTTCATTCTACGCGGTTGCATATATGCACTTCCCATTTACTTCTATAGCAATACCAATGCGGGAATGAGACTCCTCCCTGCATCTTTGATGACATTTCTTCAATTTTCGTTTGCTTTTTTTTCAACACAGTTCCCATTTTATGTTCGGTGTGCAGAAAGATACTCTAATGCATATCCTGTTGAACTGCCAGGTCAGGGGTCCGATTCCTTGGCAGGTTGAAATCTTTGCTTTTTTTCTGGTGATGATATCTTCTGAAAGTCCAGAGAGTGCTTTTACCTCATTATTTTGCAGAGCCTCTCATTTGCAGCAGGAAAAAAGTCAAGTGCCAGCACTTCTCCAGTTGTGGTTTTTTTTCGCAGGATTCCTCTCAAAAGATTAACTGCTTTCCAGATAGTACATGAATGAATCAATGTCCAAGAGCACATGTGGTGTTCTTCCACGAAATGGTCGAAGCAAAATGACTTTTCAGAGTGTGCATAGCGAACGGTGAGGAACTCTCCACCACTGTAGTCACCGACAATTCTGAAGGGAAGTTCTATTGAACAGGGTTACACTTTCACCAGGATTTGCATCGAAGTATACCGCTACATACCAGGGAGAGGACAAAAAGTTCCTGTTCCGCTCCGAAGGACATTTTCAAGCTTTCATTGGTGGTTCGTGCAGGTAAATCCATACTACATGTAAGCAGCACATGCTGGACTGGGGTAGATCCTGCGCTTGCCTTTCCAGGGTCGCGCCAGTCAACACATCTAATAGTAGTTCCGAGGACCACGTGTTTATTCATTGGCTTTGTCACTTGGAGAGCGTTTATAGCTTATTAGCATACCATCATGTGCTACGACCTGATTCAACCTCTGGACCTTTACCTCTTCTTACCGTTCAAGTCGATTTGTGAGCGTTCACTTCCTGCGTAGTAGCTCAAGATATTACTTTCTCTATACACAGTCAGGATTCTATTCTCTGCTTTCTTCTCAATTTTCTCTTCTCGATTCGAGGAACTTTCCTATTCCTGGTATGTAGCGAATACTTTAAAGACACATGGTACGCTCAAACACATTGAGGGTGTATGAGACTATCAGCCCCCAGCTGTCGATGTGTCGTGGTCCCCCCGCCCAAAACTGCACGGGGTCAGAGTACGGGGCCGTGGGAAAGTCGTAATTCCTTGCTACACCGCCCTCACGTTTATGCTAACACCATCCGCGCGGTCGCGTGCAGCTCTCTTGGCTTTTTGCCAAGTCCTGTAATTGCGCTTTGGAATACAAGTACAACGCAATTTCTTTATGCGGATAACATTTTAGGTGCTGCAAAATAAGAACCGAAGATGATGACGAGGGCTAGAACTCAAGAGCAACTGTGGTGCTTCTGCAATATCCCTCAGAGGCCGCGCATTCCCACAGAACATGACAATAAAACATGACAATACAAGCAAAACGCAATTTCCTAACATTTGAGGTATTGCTCATGCTTCAAAGTCCGAATAGAAGGTGATGAAGATGACAAAGGCTAGAAATGAACAACCACAGTCGCAACGTCTAGATCTCTTGTGACTCGAACATGATCTAGCGACAAGCGACCGGCACTATCAGTCCAGTTCCTAATCTGCCGGACAGTCCTCTTTCGCTACCCTTCTTGTGTTCTTGCATTCTAACAGATTAATCGTGTGACTAAAGGAATTGCATACACCGCACATCCGACTGACACCAACAAGCCCGCCGCTTGTCCTCTAGGACCCTATGGAATGTGGGGTCCAAAAGGATTCAGTGTAGAGTTCACTACGAACCGGACTGTTCTTCCACAGTACACTTTACAGGCACTTTTCGGGGACAGACGAAATCGCGATTCGGCCATAGACAGTTTCAGGGTAAGTTGACATTCCGGGAGCGAATATCGCTTGAATTAAGGCGAAAACGCTGCGTTGCAAACTCCGACGAGGTTCTTTCGGCTATATCCACGACACTGCTTTTATCACTGATGTCAGGCATTTGTGTATCAAATAGACCAGCTGTTGGCGTCCAGGGGATCAGACTACACCCGAGAACAGAGCTCACCTAAGTTGAGGTCTGGATGCAATCTTTGAAATACATGGTTGCAGGAGGTAACTCTTTTTATCTGTCAGATTCTTAGCTCATTCCCTCTGTTGGGGCCAAGATTAAAGGGATGTCAGAAATGGTACTGAAGCGTTCATCGGAGATACAAGCAAAGTTTTTTGGCGCCAACGCCAAACAAATCCCTTCCACCACCGGTGAAGCGATAGATTCACCACGCCAGTGCAACTGGGTAGCTCACGGTACAACTGTGGTGTTTTGTCACTGTTGCATTACGTGCATTACACTACTTCAAGCCTTGGCCGTTCGCACCTCGCTTACGAGATACTGGTGCCATTTTTGGTTCCCATATTTGTGATGAGCTTTTCGAGATTCATCGTCTTTTGTGGGTCTCTGTACAAAGTTCCACGGAAAACTGAAAGCGTTTTGTCGTCAGCTGCACTGAATTCCTGCAGATGCACTACGGCATGTACAACACTAAGTGAGTGGGCACAGAATTGAGTTAGCATCCCTTGAAATATCTCGCCCAACTTCTTATTGCACCTACCTGTCAGAGAAGACACACGGCCATTGTTGGTCCTTGATTCGCATCTTTACTGAACCCCTATGGTGAGGCGAAGCCTTTACCAGGAACCAGTGGGATGACGGGAGGCTAGGTCTGTGAAGGCCATCTGTGGAAGTCCCGTGCTTCCTAAAGATTTTCATTTATTGTTTTTTTCTCAATGCTTCAAAACATCAGACGATTTCTTAGCTTAGACGGAACTAAACTCTACAGTAGTGCCACACCCGAATAGAGGCGTTTGTACTCTGGTTCGCTGCGGACGAAGGGTCGTGTGAGGCAGTGTGAGTGTGCTAGGGCGCCGAACACGTTGTGCGCTAGAAAGCTAGTATGCGACAACAACTGTAGAAACGAGTGATACGAACGATGTGATAGTGTTTTGTTACTTGCTCGCTTCAGAACTTTCGGAGAACGGGTTTGACCCCGCGCCAAACCCATCCCGCCTGACACACCTGTCCTCAGCGAACTGGACTATTTTATGTCTGCCCCCGGTTAAAATTACAGCTTAATTCCATGTTAGGTGCGCGTTTAGGCAGCTGACAATGAAATAGTGGAGGCCGTACGATGTGGTCCAAACAGTTGGTAATGGTGAAAATGCAAGTGAATGCGCAGTTATATGTTCCGACGCGTGGGAACGCTGGAGCTTTTCTTTTACTTTGTGACAGAAGTACCACTGAACTATAGTGATGCGAAGTGACATGTTATTGAGGACAAAGGATGTGCGTTGAGGCAGAAACAAAAATTAAGTATAAGTACGTGACAGGCACTCGGCTTGTGATAGCACGGATGACAGTAGGAAACGAAGGATATGAGCGCTGAAGTGACAGGCTTTAGAACAGCGATACTACTAGTAAGCGAATCATCCAATGTAAATATTTGAATACTGTCGAAAAGGGTTACGTTTGTCTGGATAGGCGGTCTTTTTTAGTTACGTTCTGAATTATCAGAATCAGTGCTTTAGATCAGATCAGTTAGATCGATCCGAATAGCCGAGCTGTCCGCGCATGCGTTTTTCCACCCGCTGCATTCACTTATGGATGTGTGTTCTATGATAGAGTTACATGTGAGGCTCTAAACTTTCCATCAAGATATTTGCGGGGACATGCAGTGAGAGTGGAGGAGGTTTTCTGAAGCAGGCTAAAGCTCTGGGATTGTTTAGTAAAAAGGTGTATTAGAGGTTCCGGTTATTTTATTGGGTAATATCGAATACTTTATAATCTCTTCTTCGACGCATGCGTCCGCAAAAATGATGCAGAGTATGCCCGTAGAGTTCTTCCTTGATGGTTTCCTGAGAGGCTAGAAGCGGAATTTGTTCACCGTTTCAGATCATTCGTCGAGGCATTGGCAAGGTACAGCTCACAGCACGGTGTGCAGATACAAGCTCGGGACGTGAGCCATTTCTTTTCTCTTTTCCATCTCGTTTTCCTCTTTTTTTTTTGCTGAGATGGGACACAACTAAAAGACAAAAAAAATACCAAGGCGAAGGCCATGTGAATTGCGTAATTAACTTTGCCGTCATTGTTGACTCTTCGTGAGTGCCATTTTCGTGACGTCACATCCATTCGGTATTGTAGTTGGTAGGATGTCTCCCTCAAACATTGTTTGATCCCGTCGTAGTCAGTCGTGGCGGTTTAGGAAGGTTATAATGAGCCATTTTCCGGCTGCGTTCTGTACCAGTTGTGATCGCTTATAAATCGTTTCATAAAGAAGACAACCAATGCGGAAAACGCCGATAGTGAGCACCATCCCTCCTGAAAGCGCCCAGACTGATTGCGACGACATCAACTGCGACGGTATGGGGGTGATGCTGAGCTGTTTTTTCTTCACCGCCCCTGACATTTAGGCCGAAATCCGTGAAACGAGCAGTGAAGTCGAGCAAAATGTTGACTCACTAATGAAACATATAAGTGGCTCCAGCAAATTTATTATGTTCACTACTAAAATGAAATTGGATCCGATCCATGGTGGGTGGAATCATTTGCCTAAACTTTGTTGAAAACGGCTGCTAATCGCCTCCCATCCATTGAGGTTTGATGAAACGCCTCGAAGCTCAATATGGAGTCGTAACTCAACACGTCAGCTCTCAGACCCTTACCAAGGCGATAGGGCAGAAAGTGCGTGGTTTTGGTTGTTTGCTAAAAATTTGTTATCCTGTTCTATGAAATGTTTCCGATGATCCTTTACTTCAGAAGCTCACTTTTTTCCTGTTTTTCAGGGGTGCCTTCATGGTGCTTGGGAATCTATGCTTGAAAATGAATCTGAAGCTTGGAGGCATCAATCATTGCCTGAAAATATGTGATCATTTCACCTCAGCTAATCCCAGCTTCAGAAATGTGTAAGCTTTTGTATTCGTTTCACGTTTCGAGCTCATTAGCGGCTGTATGCGCTGAGTAATCAGAGATTCGTAAGCTCATTTTTTGACTCAGATACTAGGGGAAACCACTGTAGAAATGGTGCTCCGCTAGAAACTTCACAAAAGGCAGTTATTCGAGTCGCAGCAATGGGTCTTCTCTGCAAACTCATTTCATATATTGAACGCCTCGTGTTTCCAATATGGGGATGCTACTGGAGAATGGAGTGCTACTCAGCACTAAAGGAGAAATCATTAGAAATTCTCAGAATGACCTCTTCTATTTCGAGAAATGTGAGAGTATGGGGCGACGACTATGTGGATTCGAATGAGTTCTCGCTTGCAGGTATCTTAATGATGTTGGTTCTTTCCCCTATAGCGTCACCTTCATAACAAGTATCCTTATGCTCTTCTGCCGTATCATTTGCAAGCCTGTCTGCCTGCTACTTGCAATCCAAACTCGCTCGCTAAAAGCGGAAGCCGTTGATGGGGGGTCTTGCAACGTCGCGCACGCTAACTGCTGCTAACATTTTATATATGCTCATTTTCCACTAGATTTCACTTCACCAGTAGTGCAGATCAGATTTGAGTCAGATCTTTAGCGTAAAGGTAGCATAAGGAACAATAACGAGTTATTGTTACACTCACTGGAATCAAATAGAAGATCGCATCCCATCCCACCGAATCCCCTGTACGTTCCTTTCTTACGTGTCACTACTGTATGCAGTTGATAAAGAGGTATAGAAAGAGTTGATAAAGAGATACGCCTCGATGAGAATGCTCTGTAACCCTGAATGGATATTCAGTGCGTGGCGCATTCTGAAAAGTGACTAGTCGGACATTTCATCATCGTTCGCTTTTAGCGATGCAGCTCTATTCCCTAAGACGCGTATGTTCGTTGGTTTCGATATCAGTCATGCTGGCCCGCAGTCATTTGCTGACCGGCAGATGAAAAGAATTCAAAGTGAGCCAACCGTTGTTGGGGTAAGCTATAAAAGATTCGACTTCAATTTTTGCCTCTATTATTTCTTTATCACTGTGGTCTTTTGCAGACGATAACTATTAAAACATAGCAATCAATTATTTTTCATTAAGAAGGGTCGTTTTCTAGTCTTGTGATTGCTGGTCGCTGGTCTAGTGAGGAAACCGTCTGGTGACGGGCTATTGTACCCCTGCTTTCTTTATTATAATGTCACGGTATGGAAATGCTAAGGAAAGCTAATACTTGTTCAACGAGTACAGGCGCCAGATTACAGCTCCCTTCGGGAAACTAGTTTTGCAATAGAACATTCCATGTCTTATCAAGTGCAAGTAGGTGGTGTTGTCCTGTAGTCTCCCCTTGAACTTGTGTTTTTCTCTAATCTGGCTTTCCTGGAGGCTCCGAATGTTACAGGACGTGCTGTTCAGAAATTGATTTATCATTATTCCGAACTTTTCGCACAAAGCTTTTTTGAAATGCCCTATTTAAGAAGTTGGCACGATAAATCCCCCAAGACGAGTAGGATTAATACGCCTGGCTGGGCGGAATTCCGCGACCCTGGGCAGGCGCTGCGTAGCGCCTCGAGAGTCACCCTTATAAGGCCCTATCAAGCCACAACATTCCGACCCAAACGCCCGCCACGCCCGCCCGCCCACAAATGGACGACCGTTCCTGACGCTCTAATCGATTCATTTGCTAAGCAAATTATGAAGCGAAGGGATTGGTATGAAGCGGCCGTGATGCTGCATGGATATATGAGTACACATATGCCGTACCTTCGGTAGCGGTTATTGGCAAGATGCCTACAGGAAACTCGTCCAAAATTGATTTTAACACATTGAGAACGGAGGCTCTTTCTTCGCAGGATTTTGACCGTTTCACTCCGTTCTTTCGCCATTTCCCCACTATATAGCGCCCTACTAGCATTTTAGGCCGAGCACCAAATCATCGTGCCAACTGCCTCTAACTTCAAAGGCAACTAAGAATTTGTAACAGGAAAAGAAATGTCGAGAAAAGTTGCTGCTGTTTCTAGAAACATTTTGTGAGCACTGTCGCCACTTCGCAGATAAGTGAATCGTTTATT